CCCCCGGTGCTGCCGCCTTCGCTGCCCACCCTCGTTCCCACCATGGCTGCTTCGCTTTTTGTCCCTCTGTCGTACGGTGTCGATCGCCAGGGCTTTCGTTCAGCCAGGAGACGTGGTCGTGATCGAGCCTGACCAGGACAAAAATAGCGACGGCGGCGGCCCAGCGATTGCATCCACGGCGGCGGCGGCCGGCGCCGCTGAAGGTACCAGCGCCTCGGAGTCTTTGGCGCAACCCACGGGCCTCTTGAACCCGGACTCAATCTTCGGCGAGGGCGACGACGAGTCCCCGCGGCCCTCTTTGCACACGCGGGCGGCTGCAAAGACGCTGCTGGCGGCGTCCTCTCTGCACCAGCGCCTGCAGGATCGCCGGAGGCGTTCTGCCGACGGGTCCGGGGGAGGAGGGTCGAACCAGAGCCAGCGGCAAGCCAGAAAGAACGAAGGCGGCGGCCCTGTCGACAGCTTCGGCGTGACCGTCGACACCTACTACACCCCCGCGCCGCCGCCGCCGCCGTCGTCGCCGCCGCCGCCGGAGCCCGCTTGTGTTCCCGCCCCGGGTGACGATGGCGTGGGACCGGGAACCCATGTTGCCGCCGATAATGCAGCGGCCGCTCTCCCGCCAGCGGCAGACGATGGCATGTTAGCAGGGGTCGAACCGCTGCGCTCAGCCTTTGCGGGAGGGGTGGCAACGGCGACCGGGCCTGACGATAAGGCTACGGGCATCTCGGCGGCAGCCAGAGCGAAGAGGCATGCGCGAGGTAGGAGCGCCGGCTCTGAGTTTGCCTCTGGAGCCAGAGAGGGTGATGGCGCTCTGGACATAGTCGACGAGAAACTACGGGGCTCGGAGATCATCGTGAGGTGCGCGGGAGTCGGGCGCGAAAATGGCGACACCGAAGGCTTTATTTGTTGCTGTCGTTGGAGGTGGTCAAGGCGGTTCTAGGGGCAGCTTATTTTAGGGTTAGGGGCGAGGGGCGAGGGGCGAGGGGCGAGGAAACGTTATGCTGGGGGATGGGCAAGTAAGTACGCGACACAGGGAGACCCCCGCTTCTCAATGGTAGGGACGCGTGCGCTGTGGCCAGAGAGCCGGTCAGCCACAAGTCGCGACTAATGCTTAGGAAGCGCACACCGAACATATGTACTTGTAACAGGGTGCATCTTGACTCACGTGCCTCCCCCCGCTCTACGCCGCTCTACGCCGTTTCTCGTGCCTGCGAGGACTGCAGGAGGAAGCCGCCTCTTTCTCAACGCCCGCTCCCTCCTCCTCTTCCTCCGAAGCCGAAGAGCGTCCCAACGCCGGCAACGGCAACCGTCGCCCCGGCCGACGTTCACGACGGCATCGCCGCGGGTGTTCCGTGCAGGAAGAGTCGGACGTGGCCGGTGTGGGCTGAGAGCCAAGAGCTAGAGACCAGTTCGCGCAGCGGAGATGCATGTGGAGGGAGCGCAACCGAGGGCGGAGAGAGTGATACGAATCCGGGGGGAATCGCCGGCGGCATCCTGAGCTCCGGTGTCTGGAAAAGGGCTTACTCTGCAGCCACGAACGCAGCCGCTACCGCTATAGCCGTGAACACCGACCTTTCTGCGTCGGCAACGGCTTCGGTAGCTAATTTTGCGAACGGGGGAGGGGTCCGGTGGATGGGAAACCGGGTCGGGGACGGCGGTCGCGACGCCGGGGATGCCAGTCGTAGGGGCGACACAGCTACTGTCGAGCATCAAGAACGGGAGGAAATGGGAAATTCCATCGGAGTTGACGAGGAGGAGGAAGGGGAGAGAGAAGCGCCGCCGCCGCCGCCGTATTTGTCCATCACCTTGGGAAACGTGAGCTGCTTCTTGCCGAAGGTGAACTGGTCCGTGCAGACGCAGCAGAAGCGATTCCTAAGGGTGGGGGACTCCGGGTACATCAAGTGAGTTACGGGGACCCCGGTCGCGATCATTGTTGACGGTACCGTGCATGTATTCCTTGCGTGAAAAAGGGAGTCGATGCCTGTGGGTTCTGGTTTGACCTGGGATGCAAAGGACGAGGCCAGGGCGCGTGAATCGAATCGCGTCGTTCCCGCTACGCGACAGCTGCTTTGGTGAGGAGTGACCGCACTGTCGGATGAGTTTATCGTGACAACAGTTGTTCCTTATGGTGGATCCTGCCGCTCCCCCACATCTTCTCATCTTGTTGTGCACGATTCGCTGCAAAAGGCAACCATCGTGTTGATGCACCCAAACCCTCGTGTCCTACCTTGCTTTGTCCGTTGTGGGTTTTCCAGCGTCCGGCTGGAGGGCGTGTCGCTGTCTCTCTCCCTTGACCCGGGAGCCGGCGTGTGTTCTCTGTTCGGTTCGTCCCGACGTCCATCGCAAACACCACCGCCAACGCCACCGCCACCAGTCGCTCCTCGCCATCTTCCTGGTACTTCCGCAGCCGCCCCCGTCGGAACAAGCGGCGGCGACAATCAGGGCCCCCCACCACGCCCTTTGTTGCCGTTCGTGGCAACATCATCACAGGCACCGAGATCCGTCTCCGCAGAACCTTCAGCGGAGGGAACAGACGGCGGGAGCGTGGCCGAGAGGGGTGGGGGCGGGTCCTCTTCGGCTCTCGTCGACGGTGGGAATTCTGCTGACGCCGGGAAGGGTGATGCTTCTGGCGGCAGCGGTGGCGGCGATGGGCTTGGCGGAGGCGGTGGCTCTTCGAAATGGTCCACACTGTGAGAGAGAGAAATGCTTGAGCCTTTGTTGTGCTAATGATTCACCCTCTGTTTGCTTTTGTTGCGCCGCTCTCTTTCACACGGCAGGTCTTTTTGTTTTCGCTTCGCACTGTTTTCTCCGGTGCGGAGCCGACAAGTTCTACCCTAGTCTCAACAAGTATCCATACGACTTGTTCTGCGTCACAGCGCGCACGGTAGAGTTCGGAAGTTCTGCTGCTACACGACACACCTCACGGCACTTTGATGCGTACGTCTGCCGCGCTGCAGGAAGTCGATGTCGACAGCCCTGTCGAAGGGCACCGGCAAGATCAAGCGGCGCTGGAAGGCGACAACAACGCAGCAGCAGCAGCAGCAGCAGCAGCAGCAGCAGCAGCAGCAGCAGCAGCAGTTGCAACGAACCGGCCACCACCAGCCCGCGCCGACTTCTTTCCAGCCCGCCTCCTCTTTCTTCCACCCTCCGTCTCCTATCGACTCCTCCGACAAATCGGATGCCTTCTCCTCTTCCTCCGTCCCCTCGACGTCGCGAGGACGCGCGATAACTCCCACCCTTCCTTCTGCCGCCACCACCGCTGCCCCAACACCAGAAGCCCTGCCGTCGTCGAGGTCGGTGCCGCGTTTGTCGAGCTTGGGTGACAACGACGCGGACGGCGGCAGCGGTTCGTTGGTATTCGCAACGGCGGCGGAATTTTCCCCCTTGGCGGCGGCAGCGGCGGCAAGGAGGAGGGGCAGCGGGCTCGAGGGTGACGACGGGGAGGCGGGGGAAGTGACTCCGTCTGGGATTTCTGCCGGCGGCACAGACGAGTTTTTGAAGGTTAGCGCCTTTTACAACAGAGCTCGTTGTTCTGTTTTGGGATGGAGAAAGTTGTAGGCTTGTCTCCGAGCATTATCAACGGTGGGGTGCCTGTGTCCTTTTTCATTCGCACTACCTTCGAGCTGCGCTTTGCTGTTTTTGATCGCGTTTTGCAACTTCGAGCGTCGTGACCCTGTGGGGCTTCTCCCCGAGGCTGGAGTTTCTTTCGCCACTGTTGGAGCAGCCCGTGTTTACGGTTTACGACCACTTTTTGGGGTTGGTACTGTTCGCGCTGTCCTTAGCGCTCTTTTTATCTGTTTGGGAACCTGATGCACTCGTTGTTGTCGCTTCTGCCTGTGAACGAATCACAATAGGTCACGGCGTGCAGCTGCAAGGTTGGGTCTATCCGCATCGACGTGGACGGCAGCAAGCACGACGGCATCTACAACTTCCTGGCCAAGGGGCTGGGCGACACGATACGGTGCGTTTCCGTCGTGGTGTCTTTGATACTTCTGCTTTCACTGTTACGGGATTTCATTGGCACGGTGGTGTTGGTTGGGGTTGGGGGAGGGTGTGTGTATGAATGGATACACTCTGATAGTTGTTGCTAATGACTTGAATGCACGTTCAGGCTGTGCGCCACGGGAGATTGGCGATGGTCATGGGTGGCTCTGATGTGTCGAAGTGGAAAGCGGGTGTGGGGCCGGGGGAAGGGGGGGGTACTACCATGTGGTGGAACAGTTGTTGCTCAATTGGGCCTGTTTCTGTTTGCTGAGCTTCCTTTCTTGTTCCAGTTCTGCTTGCTCTCTACTCCAGACTACCTGTGTCAACGGCAATTTGAAGGAAATGCAGGCCCGGAGGATAGTCGCAAGTCCATCCGTCCAACCGAAGATCCCGTTTTTTCGACTTGCGATCCGTGTGCACAAGCGACGCTGTGCGTGAGGCCGTGGAGAAGGCGTTTGCCGAGGAGATCGGAAAGCTCGTCGAGGGCATCAACGACCGGATCGCCGAGATTTGGTCCGGGAGTCCCCCGGTATCAAAGGTAATGACCACCGACATATGCTGTATCCCCCGCGGTTCGCGGTGTTGGAATTGTTGACGAATGCTTTGGTCTTCGATTGTGCACCGATGCCAATGCGTGTTCGACCAATCGGGACTTGGCGGACAGAATTGATCAAAGGATAGCGGCGGCGTGCTGCTAGTATTTGTACCTCTTTCGATTGATTGAAGCGAGTGTAGAAACTGTCGGTTCTTTACTGACGCCGCTTACCGATTCCGTCTTGAACCAGCAATCAACAGTCAGAAGTTCAGGTTCTATACGACTATCACACGGTTCGCGTTTACAACACAGCACGGAAAATAATGCGAAAAATGCTTCCGATTCTTGTCTCGCACACAAACCTAACCCTTGTGCATTCCAACAACCACTCGACCCTCCCTCGACCCTCCGACACCTTGCGATCGGATGAACAAACAACAAGTGTAGTGACCATCTTCGGTGAAGGCCGTCAAAACAACAATTTGCTTACGCACGTCGGAAAGTCGAAGGTCTGACAGCCAGCCAAAATTCAGACCACTGCCGTGGTCGGCGGGCCTGTAAATCCATGAATGAACGCAGTTACAACAAGGTTGTCACCCTCCCCGGACCTAGTTCGCCTCTATCGTTTGTCCTTCTCGTTGCTTGATCTTTTCCCCACCTCCCGCCCCGGTGACGTGATGGCTGTTCGCTTTTAATGCCATGCACGCATGTCGCATCGCTCGGAGAGAAGAGGCCGACCAGGGTGGTTTGCGCCGCCGTTCGGGCGCAAGATCTGCCCAAAGGGAAGACGGATCTCTACGTTAAGGTAAGGTTGGCTTGGTTTCATTGTCACCTCTACGGTAAAGCGTGAGTATTTCTATGGGTCGTCCCCTGGTGACGTGAGAGCTTCTGGCCTGTCTTGCTGCCGACTTGTGGTAGGAACAACCCGAGCAGATATGGGTTTGGACGGGTACAACGACCAAAAATCGCTACCAATACGCAGCACATACAGCATGTGTACGCCCTTCACGAAAAAAGTCAGGTACTTTTTGTCCAAAGCGTGGCGGACTCGTCTCCACCTTCACACTGAGTTCATTGGTGGCCACTTCGTACACAAACGCATACATACATTGTTGCGATAGCGTGATTTTACGGAGAGGGGACCGGGTGGTTTTCTGCTCTGCTGACAACGAAAATATCGACAACCCCAACAACAGTACCAACAACAACAACAGCGGCCGCAGGAGCGTAACCCCCACCCCCGCCCCAAAACAGGTACGCCTCATCAAGCAGGACGGCACGCAGCTTGAGAAGCGCAGCACGGCTGCCGTCGGAGCCGTCGCCACCTCCGCCGCCATGTCCATCCCAATCCCTTCCATGGTCGCCATCTCCAGCAACAAGCGCAAGGACAAAGAGCACGAAAAGAAGCAGAAGGAGAAGGAGGCCCCGGCGCGCAATCCGTGCTGGGTGGGGTTGGACAACGGTGCGTGCTTCGTTGGTGGAAAAGCATCCGCCGTGGTTCTCCCACAAAAGAAGAGGCTACGCTGCGGAAGAAGAACATGTCGACGACGAACAGAAAATTTAAATTTGAACGGAAAAACCAAAACCAAGTGAATGCAACAGTAAACCAACACCGGACAGACGAGATTGTTTTGTGTGCAACAACTTCGGTGGGATGGAGCACAACATTTCGCTGGTCCTTCGTGCGTTAATCGTGTCTGCGCAGATTTGTCCATGAACCTTCCGGAGGAAGACCCTGACGGCATGAGCTTGGTCTTTGAGGTACGACCGAGGTCTGGGCTACTTTAGTTCGCGGTCTGCGTGCGTGTCCTGGAAAATGTCTTGTGTGTTTGCTCAGGCCAACGGTTGATACCCTGCGGCCTCATCCCCCGTGCGTGTACCTTTTCTTTGCGTGCTGCTTTCGTTGCCCAGGTGTGGCACAGCGGCACGCTCGCCAATGCTCTTGTCGGATCGACGCGCCGGGTGACCATGTCGGAGATTGAGCCACCGTCCCCTGCAGCAGCAGCAGCAGCAGCGGCGGCGGCGGCTGCAGCAGCAGAAGCAGGAGAAGAGACGGAAGAAGACGAGGAAAGGGATGGGGGCGCCACCCCTGCTACCGTGTTGAAGGATTCCGACTTGAACACCTTGTGGTTAGACTTGGACTCCGGCGGGAAATTGATGGTGAGTGTTCGGNTCGTGCATGCCGTAGTCGTTAGACCATTGACCTCGCATCCCTACAAAGCCGGCACGGAGCACGCCGGGTTCTCACCGGACCAGGCTCTCACATCACCAAGCGTGAAGCGCCGTGAGGTATTCGGCGAGTCGCTGAAGAGTGCCCTGCATCCTGCTAAGGGTGTTCGGTATCTTGTGCTTACTTCCTTGCGTACGGACGACAGCTGCGTATGCGTGGGGGGAGGAGGGGGCGGGGGTATACGGGGGGCACAGGAAATGCAAAGCGCCCACGATGTGCGGTGACATCGGCACTCTTTGGTGCTTTGCGCGTTCAAGAATGACTTGCGCGATAACCCGGCTTGGCTTGTGCTGGGTCCGCTTATCTTGAGCCACCTGTCGCGTTTCGTCCGCTTCCAAAGCGCGTAAAGAACGGCTGCACAAGGTGCCAATTTTTGCTCCGTCCTATGTTGAGGTGCTCTCGTGCCATACGGCACCCACCTCCTTCTCATCGATGCCATCAAACCCCTTCACTGGTGCGTCCCCGCCCGTTACATCTTCGAAGGTTAAATTGGCCGTGTTCGGGCGAGCAGCTCACCGTAGGCGCACCAGCTTCCATCGACCGGGGGGTGGAGGCGGCGGTGGTGCCGGTGCAGGGATTCCCGAGGCCGCACTCGCGGCAGCTGAAACCCAGAGGGCGTTACGCCGATGGGACTAATCTAATTGTAGATCGGTTACAGTTTGCCGTATGAGGAACCAGTGGCTCGAAGGCGGCGTTGTTCTGGGCGTGAGCCCTTTTGTATTGCACCGAGGTTTGAAAGGTGGCGCCGTATTTGGAAGGTGTTTTACCACGCCACGGAACCTCTTTGATGAACCTCAGCGATACCCTGTTCCAGCTGCGTAGGGGGTATCACATGAAAACACGGCACGAACTATCTTCGAAATTTAGTACAAAATGAACTATCTTCGAAATATAGTACCAAATGAGGATTGGCTACATGCAGGGGCGTTTTCATACAGTAGTGGACGTTTGGTGTGGAAGGAAAGGGTTTCACTTCACTCTCGTGGCAATGAATGCTGTCTTTTTCGTATTTCTTAGAAAGAATAATCATCCCGAGAGCACGTGCACGTTTTCACACAGCGGTGGGCGTTTGGTGTGGAGAGAACGGGATCTTACATCACTCATAGCAATGCATGCTGTCTTTTTTCAATTCCTGGAAATCATCCGAGAGAGAGAGAGTACGTACTTGTGACGCAATCCTGTGGTATTTTGTTTGCCTTAAGCTGCTGATTCTACGGTTCATTGGAGTAAGGCCGCACGGGGATAAGTGTGGTAGGTTTCGGCACCTGTAGGAGTGCCAAGTATGATGCCCCCAACACGGGTGAGTGAGACGCCTCGAGAAACCCGTACCGGGCGGGGCGCTAGGGGAGCTACATAGCCGTACGTATTGATTCCCCAGCTGAACTTGTGGGATCCCAACGTTGGACTTGTGGGTCAGCGTTTTTCACTCTTAATCGGTCTGATGACTGGCTAGGGTTTAGGGGAATAAGGAGGCTTGAGTAAGGTTGGGACTCCGAAAAATAGCTATCGTTGCGGTTGCGCTGAGGGGGCATACTTTCGAATCTTGGTACGAAATTTGGTACTATGGTATTTGTTTTTTCCTGTGCAGGCATTTTTGTAGCACGAGCGGCTCAACATTCATGATATTTTTTTTTTGTCGTGGACCGAGGAGCGACGCTTGTAACGACCACAAGCTCGTACACTGCACGTTTTCGCGTACAGTACCACCGCCGTGTTCACGGCACTTGGTCGGCTGACGAGGTGCGCCCCTCGAGGCAACCGGAGGGCCAAGGTGTGGTAGCGACGTTTGCAACAACAACGACACGGCCACGGCCAGCGAGGGAGACTACCGAAACAACCATTGTTTGGGGAGGGCCCCGGCCATCCGGCACAGCCGCGTGCTATCACGCCTGAGGGGCGGGGACTACTCCAGAATACACCCGGTCGACTTACTACACTCGCCGTAGACAACGCAGGGAGACGAAGCGCCGGAGTACGTTGGGGTTCTGTTTTGGGAACGCAGATTCCAATGCATGGCGTCGTGGCGCATAAGGGGGCTCGCAGATAGATGTCGGTCAACTAAGTGGCAGCCAAAGATCTGCCGGTGGACCTGATTCGAGGAGTCGCGGGATAGGGGGAAGGGAGGCTGAAACGTCGGTCTAGTTTCGTGTGGATAAATAGCCAGTTTCTTCGTTATTTGTTTCGTTTTTTTATGCGTTTTTTCTCCATTGCTCTAGCCATCCATGTTGCACGACTGGTCCTATTAACAACGCATGCGAGGGAGTGCGAGGGTTCACACCTGGTTGGCGATTAATTTGCAGTAGCCAGCAACGCGTGGAAATACATGAGTGTCTCGGACCTTGCGCGTTGTTGTCTTGTTTTTCGGCTTCCCGTCGCAACTTATGGCGTAGAGTCCTTCCCGAACCTCAAGGACGGGGAGCGGGGTTGGGTGGGAACCGCCGTCCATGACGTCGACTCTACACCTGTCATCCACAGCAGCAGTGCTTTGTTGTGGGTTATTGTGCATGTCATCACGGCAATTCTTTTCTTTGCCTTTGCACAGTAGGGAAGAGCAAGCGCACGCGCGTTTTCCACCTGATACGAAGGGGGGGGCGGGGGGCGGGATGTATTCAGCTGCAGCTTGTTTCAATTATATTGGCCATCGTGAGAATACCCTTTCTCCGTTATGAGTAAAGGTCCCTGAAGTGGTGAATAACCGTTCACCGACGGAGGTATTTTCGCTCTTATTGCAATGTGGCAAGGAATGGCAAAGCGTGGCTGACGTTAGTCAGCCTTGCTAGAGTGATGGTGAGAGTGAGCTTTTGGGCTCGCTTCCACCCTCCGGCTGGTCACAGCAGACGGAGGGTCTTCTCGTTGTAAAGATCTTCAGACCACGAGAACGTCGTTCCTGGGGTCACCGGATCTATACGGTTGTATGTGCGTCCATACTACTGGGAAGCCACCTTTATCCTGGTTTCCACAATCGCCCAAGATGTCAAATTAGGTTTTCAACATGACATGTATACAGAGAAAGACCATGACTGGTTCATGAAGTAGTGTTGATGCTCTTGGGTGCGTCAAAAGACTTGGAGTTTTTTTTTACTCCGGACTTGCTCTGGAACGTCATGGGCGGGCGGCATGTAGGAAAAATGGCAAATGCCCTTTTTTCCGTTTTTCTGTATTAGGAGCAATCACAGTTCTTACACACGCGAAAGTTCGTCGATGTGCCAAGCCCACCACAGGGCCACCACAGGCGATTTGCGGAAGAACGGTGGGTTTTGTAGTGATTTCCTTTATTAAGTGTAGGAAAATTACCACCGGCTGCCGCTATATATTTGCACCTCCACCACCGCATGGGGATGATGTGTTGTATATTCTTGCAGAGAGAGGATGCTGTAGGTCAACGTCGAAGAATCAGGATGGGTCTAGGTTGCGGCGAACTCACGGTTGTGTGTGTGTGTGTTTTTTTTTTCTCCCATCATTGGACTCTGTCGTCTGCCCCTCTGGCCCCTATCCTCCACTTCTACCAGCTAGACGACCCAACCGGGGTCACATAGGAGGGGGGGGTTGGACCCCCTCCTGCGGTTCCTGCCTGAGATATTTTTATCGCGAGAAGGGTACAGCAATCCCTTCCCTCGCGAATTATGAAGTCTATCAAGTTTACTAACAACGAGCTTTGCAGCGCGTCGCTTCCAACGGAGACCAGGATTAAATTAGCGAGAAAAAAATAACTATGTCGGGACTCGAATCTATCACCTGGCCCTTGGCAGGCTGCGAGGTTACTCACTAGACCACCGGGGGGACCGGGGGTTGTATGCATGTGTGCACGACAGACTTTCTGTTTGTGACAGAGTTCATTGAAGGTGCACACGCAACAATATCACAGGAGGGTTTCTTTTCCTACCCGAGACAGGCCTTGACGGGGTGTATGTGATAAAGTCCTCGCAGGGAAGTTTGAGCTTTTCAGTATCGAAACGCCTACCGGAGAATGCTCTCCGGGGACTTCCACAGTCAAATCTCGAACAGCACATCATCAATATCATCAGCGGTGTAGGTTCTCACCGCTGTTCATTCGCCGATATATCATGCTAGTAATGAGTAAACAGAATCCTCGTTGACCCATTACCCATTTGGAAATTGGGGTTTTTGACAAGGGTACAAAGAAACGACCAAGATTGTTGTGATGAAGGCAAGAGCTTGCTTGTTCTGGTCGTGAATCTCGAGCAGTTTTATGAAAAGCGTGTAGACTATGGGTTATCATGTCACCAGACACTACTACTCACCGGGTCCCTCGTGTCCCTCGCCACCTATCGCCAACTCCCAGCTCACAAAGCCGCATCCCACACATTAACCCTCGTTTCATACCCGTGCGCATGACCACGTCGTTCCCTCTTCCCCCGCCATCAAACGTCACCACCACAGCCGCAGCCCCTCACATCATTCCACCCCCCCATCACCACGCACCTTTCGAAATTACACCAAGACGACGGCACCCTGTGCGAACATCATCGAATACTGCCCAGGGCCGAGTATTTTCCTACCTGAAGCGTACCCTTTCATTACGTCGCGTGCCCTGGTTGGATGCCTTTGAAAAGTACGCTTTCTCGCCATATGCTGGCTTTCTTGCACGATTAGATCGCCTTGATTTTCTATCTCAACCCTTTTGGATCGACCACCGCGACAACAACCCCACCGCTCGTAACCTTCTCCTACCCCACCGAAAATTACAGCACAAGTTTCTCATATTTCAGGCCTTGCTGGTTTTTCCGGCTAGCCAGCTGAGGTCCAACCGATCCACTGACACTTGTCTCCCGCTTTGTACCTACAGCAGTAGTGCTTCTGGACACGAACGGTCGGAACAGAAGCAAGACTTGTACCCCACAAACCAAGGGCGCCGTCCGGTATATGCCGGAGAATGGCGTCCTAGAACGAGTTTTCGTCGGTATGAAACCGGAGACCGGTTCTAGAAACGTTTCGGCGAGACCAACCGAACGAAAAAAAATCGAAAAAAAAAATCCCCCCGACATTCGGCGCATCCTGTTTAACCGCAAACATCGCCAACGCAAGCCTCGTTCTCCACGGCAATCGACTCCGCTTGGTCGAATTACATACAGAGGACACCACTCTCGAGGTCATCATACCTAATCTCGTTCTAGGACAGCCGTCCCGACTTGGGCGTGGCCGTGGCTCGTGGCAGCCTCATGCAGGTAGACCGCACAATCGAAATCCGAGGGAAGAGAGGGTATTGAGACAGCAGCGGAAGAAGCACATCCGCGGGATACACTGCTGATCAGCCAGCTGTTGAGAAAGGGTACCACCGAGGCAGCTGGAAAACCCGTCCAATCTGTGGTTGCTGATGAAGTTGAGCTCCTCGAAAAGGGTAGAGAGCATGTTGAAGGCATCCTAGAGAGAGCATCGAAAAGCGGGAAACGACAGCCTGCTGCTGCTGCTGCTGCTACTTCATCTGCTGCGGCGAAGGCGAACCGCAAGGGGGCGGACGCAGCTCTCTCCGACCCTCTAGCATTGGCTCATGATGGCGGGACTAGAAGCGGTGCTACCCCAAATACTTCGCGGGAGGAAGCGGTGAGTATTGAATCACTTCTGAGGTGCTGCTGAAAGGTGCTCTAGTGCTTGATTGACTGCGCTTTACTTTGCGCGCCAGTTCGTGCCAGCTGCTCTATTCTTGAATTTGAAATTTGGTAC